GTAGGAATCTTGGGAACCAATTTTTATTAATAGTATGTTTGCCAACAGGGGAAATGGAGCAGTTTTGGCAGGAAAGGAGCATAGCATACTAGTTATTGAGGGAGAATGGATTCTTAATAATATTTCTAAAAAATCTTTGTGTTTCACCGTCTCACTTGGGAGCACAGCAATCCTTTGAAAGAACCAATCCTTTAAGCTATGTGATAGATGCTATTTTCCTAACCAACTACTTCACTTGCGATTTCCTCACCACCCTTTGCAATCTGTTTGTTGCTGTTATTACCCAGTTTTGACATTTAATCTCTTTCAGTTGTGCTCCAGTTTTTCTGAAACGCCTCATTGGATTTCTGATATAAAATTTCTTACGTTTGGCTTATCTTGCTATTATTTTAGTATCTAGGTAGCATTCTTCAGCATTCTATTATGAATTGAATTAAAGTATATACCATTGCTTTAGAAGTGACTGTCGCTTGAGCATCATTGTCAATTATATTGTTCTAAATATTCCATTTAGGTGACAAAGAGGAAATTCATCTGGCAGATGAAGTTAATATTAATAGAAATCTTTCCATATGTGGTTAAAGACTCTTGATGTGAAGCTTAATATGATATTTATTTAGCTCCATTTAATTTCAATTATAAATTTTCTTCCTGCCTGCCTTCCTTCCTTCCTTTCTTTCTAATATATTCTTATTGATTTCAGAGAGGGAGAGGAAGAGATAGAAACAATGATGAGAGAGAATCATTGATTGGCTGCCTCCTGCATGCCCCCTACTGGGAAACGAGCCTGCACCTCAGGCACGTTCCCGTGACCAGAATCAAACCCTGAACCCTTTAGTCTGCAGGCCAACGTTCTATCCACTGAGCAACCAGCCAGGCCTCTTCCTGCTTTCTTAATGAGGCCTCATCTCTCATCATCTGACTCCTTTACTCAAAATCCTCATTTGTGCCCTTCTACATACAGAATGCTCCCTCATTTCTTAAAGTGCCATTTAATGATCTGGCCTAGATCTACTTTTCACATTAGTCTGTTCCCTCCCACATTGTGCTCTGTCATTATACTCCTTATAGTCCTTTATTTCTCTTTTCATTGTTGTTTGTTAACATTATACTCTTTTACTAGTATTCCTCAACTGTGTGCTAAGACCCCTTGGGTGCTTTAGCAAATCCATATTGAGTCTGCAGGTCATTTCAAAATTTCTAGGAAAACATGTGACATCTATTAGGTTCAACATTTGAACCACTAACTGCAGATTTTTCTGTTTTAACATTGCATTGCTACTTTCCTCTTGGTGGTATCAGATACTTTGGAAAACTGGGGTTTGGGTAGCTTCTGTGATTAAAACAACAACAAAACGAGTACTACACAAAAATCATTGTGACACAGCAAATAAGAGTGGTGCTGACCAGTCTGATTCCAAGTTTTGAGAATTTTACAGTGCGCAGTAGGCTCTCAATTATTAGGAAATAAATACTAGATTGTTTGGAACTAGCTACTTACTAAATAGAATTTATTTTACCTTTAGAACACCATGATAAAATTCCCAACAGGAGAGGAGGCGTGTGCTCCTCTACTTCCAGTTCACAGCCATTTTTGAAAGTTACACCCATCTTTCAGAGACTAGTTGATAATGTCACCCATCTCTGGATGCCTTTTCTGATTTCCCTTCGCTTATATTTAATTGCCCTCCTGAGTGTTTCCTGGTGGTATTCTGCCTTTACTATTGCTTTTAAAATTGAATTCAACTAATTTCATGTATTTATTTAAAGTAATCAATTATTGCTGTAGTTTTCTTATTCATTAAGTTAGGTGTAGTTACTTACAGTGTAGTGAGAACCCTTTCATTCTCTGTATGAAAGTGACCCAATTTTAATAATAGGTATCATTTACTGATCTAAAGTACATTTCTTGTTAGTCTATTTCTAATTCTTAAAACATGCTCCCAAGATCATAGGTTGTATTATCAACATTGTATTTGAAGAAATTGGGATTTATCACTGTTGGTTTCCAGAACACTGACACACCTAACCTTTAGCTATTCTAGTTCCTTTTTCTTTTACTCTTGAGTATAGAATCAGCTTTTTGGTATCTTCAGAAATCCTGTTGAGATTTTGATTAGTGTTGCAGTGAATCTATGAATAAATTTGGGGAGAATTGCTATCTTAAGAATATTGAGTTTTCTAATTCACGCACATATTATCACTTTATATAGTTGGTGGTGGGTTTTTTGTTTTTAGTTTTTTTAGTTGTTTTTTGTTTTTGTTTTTTTGGTAGTGTTCTGTGTATAGGTCTTACACATGTTTTCTTAAATTGGTCCCATTATGTTTCAATTTTTGATGCTATTGTAAATGACATTGTTTTCCTAATTTTCAACTATTCCTTGATAGTGTATAGAATTACATTAGATTTGTGTACAATGATCTTAAATACTGAGACTTTGATAAAGTCACTTTTTAGTCCTAGAAAATTTATGTAGATTCTTATGATTTCCTTAAACACGCACAGATTGGTGTCCTGCCAAAGCCTCAAGAGCTACTTTATATGGATTTCAGCTCATTCCTCTCTGAGACTCTTTTTCACTTTATCTCTGGTCCCTCATTTCAGTGAGAATGCCAGGCTCCGTTTGGTTTCTTCCTCCTGGCACTGTAGCCTGGAAATTGCCTTCTGGCAGATAGCCTGCATGATGTCAGGGCTTACCTTGTTTTCTGTCAGAATCATAGTCCTGCCCTGTCCAGTGTCTGAAAATTCTATAGTTGTTTCCTTTTAGTTTTATTTTTTAAGTATACACAACACAAGAGTAATTCTGGACCTTCTTACTCCCTCAGGGATAGGATAGAAGTTAAAGATGGGTATTTAAAGATGTACTATACATACCTAAACAAAGAGAGGTTGAGCAATTTATTTTGGCTAAAAGAAGGAACATATCAAGAAGCTTTGAACAAAACTGCATCTTTTTCCTGGAGAATTTGAAAATGTGCTTGTGTCTTTGTATTATGGTCACTGTCATTTTCCTCTAGTAGACATGCATTAAGTGTTTATTGATTGGATGTCAGAATGGTCAAAAACAGATTGCTTAGGTGTTGGTAACATATTGTGTTGGAGGTAATGTTAGACATGTACTAAAATTTTAACAGAACTATTAGCAGATTAATTTATAAACTTTCAAAAAAGATTTTTTAATCTTTCAGCTTTCTTGAAAACATCCTTACTTTCTCAGCTAGGTTATTAAGTGCTTTCAAGCCATGAGCATGGCTTTTACTTCTTTTATGTGTCTGCTTTGGCTTACTAAACTCTTATTTTAAGTTGACTAACTTTTGAGTAGAAATCACTGATTAAGAGTAAAAGTCTCACATTTTGTCAGTGTCCTAGATATCAAAAATAGCCATAGTATTTAGACTTTCTACATGAACAAAAGTAATGTGTAGAACAAGACATATTCTTGGCTGTTATGTCTGTACTTTTCGTATGTCTGGTTTAAAGTATTTAATTTTCAACAACTTTATGAGGTGTATTTATATATATTTTAAATTTACAGATGAGGAAAATGAGGCATAGAAATGCCTAAGTGACATTCTTACTCGTACAGCTAGTAAGTGGCAGAGGCAAGATTTGAATCCAGACTGTCTCAATATACGAGGTGTACTGGTTAATAATGCGGATTTTGTAATCAAAGAAAACACGATAATTTCAAGAGAAACATCAAAAGTGCTTTATTCAAAGTAATGTTCATCGCTAGCTACACATTTCCCCCATCTTTCAGGTAATTCTTGGATTCCGTCCCAAGACGGAATCTTGTTT